TCTTGCCTGATGGAGAGTGGAATAGAATGTCATACTTTTGAAACTGATTGCTCTGACCTCATGGATATAGTAAGGAATCCAACAGAGTGGCTGACATTCTCTATTTTGTCAGACCAAATCCGAAGCATCCAAGACCGTCTTCTGAAGCATCCAAGATCGTCTTCCGAGTTTTTCATATTCTTTTGTTTCCCGTTCTAGTAATTTAAAAGTGGACTGTTTAGCCCATTCTGCACGTACTCGTACTTTTGATTTTTCGTATGTAAGTAACTTGCCGCCGAATTGGATTTTCCAATTCTGCTGGTGTTTTTGCGTAATATATAGTTTGGTTGTCAAAAAAAAAATTATTGTTGTATTAAACTATTACGCCGTACAAGAAAATCGTTGGTGTGGCTTTTGGGTAGGTCTTGATCACTCTTAAATGCAAAACTGGTCCCAATGGTGCTGCAACTTGCTTATTCATCACTAGATTTTTTGTTTCCATCTCCTTTACACAATTGTGGTTCAGACAAAATGATACTATAGGTTTTTTAGTTATTAAAAGTTTTTTTTTTTTTTGAGAAAATAGTTATTAAAAGTTTGGATATCTGATGAGTATAAACATTTGAAATGTGTAAATGTTTGCTGAGTAAACAGAAAACAACGATATACCATGTTTGAAAAGAGCCAAACATCAAAAAGCATACACATTTGTATCGGTATGCTAGTCATTTGATTCGTACTACTGACAAAATGTCCGAAATAGAGTGAGCTCTTTCCGTTAAATTCAGCCTAACTCGTACCAAAATCATTTGTTTTCATTTGCAATTTCTTTATATATAACACTCTTATTTGTTGATTAATATTTTCTTAAAAATATAGGGTCTTTTTAATAAATAATCAAAAAATTTAAAAATTAAAATATTGGAAAAAATGGGATATGTGGCACAATCTAAACCTTACGATTTAGGTTTCTTGGTTAGTTTGTAAATTATAAATATATATATGTGGCAGGACATTTTTTTTGGGTCAAAAGGCGGAATAAATTTTTATCAAAGACTTTTTTCTTGTAAACAAAATACCATTATTTTAATTCTTTAACTCACTAAAATTCAATAAACCAGATACATTGAATTCCAACCCACGTATATTTATTTCTTTTTGATGTTCTGCTATATTTGTCAATATATCATTTTAGTGATTGTGTCAATGTCACCGAGGGTTTCTGGTAAAAAGATCAAAAGAATATTCTTTTCTAAAGAGAAAAATTGTTGATAGGGAAAAAAAAATGAGATAATAGTTAGTTTCGACAATTAAAGTAGTAATAAAATGTTTTTTAC